TGGCGGGTTTTTTTTCTGTGTGAGGTGGGTTTTTTGTGGGTTTTTGTTTTTTTTTTTTCCTCCTGTCGCGCGCCGCAAGCTGCGGTAGCCCCTCCGCGCCTGATTGGCTGCCGCGGACTTCCGGCTTCCGGCTGGGGTTCGGACTGTGAGCGGGGGGTCCCTGAGCTCGGAATATATTTCGTTTTTATTTTTTTAAAAAAAAAAGAACCTCGATTATGACAAAATTACTGGGGTTACCTTTTATTCTCATGAGGGTCTTGTACTGATAAAGGAGTCCTGCCCCCGCTCCCTACTGCCCCGGGCACTGCATTGGCCTGAGCCGGGAGAGCCCATTCTGTGTGAGGTGGGTTTTTTGTGGGTTTTTGGTTTTTTTTTTTCCTCCTGTCGCGCGCCGCAAGCTGCGGTAGCCCCTCCGCGCCTGATTGGCTGCCGCGGACTTCCGGCTTCCGGCTGGGGTTCGGGCTGCGAGCGGGGGGTCCCTGAGCTCGGAAACCCCTCATATATTTCGTTTTTATTTTTTTAAAAAAAAAGGACCTCGATTATGACAAAATTACTGGGGTTACCTTTTATTCTCATGAGGGTCTTGTACTGATAAAGGAGTCCTGCCCCCGCTCCCTACTGCCCCGGGCACTGCATTGGCCTGAGCCGGGAGAGCCCAGGGAGCAAGGTACACAAGGAGGCCCTCAGCAGGATCCTTTGGCAGGGCAGGATGTAAAAAAGTGCCAGTTTGTTTGTCCAGCCTTTTCCTTTGAATTCACATACAGCTTGGGGGAAAAATGAAAATTGACTTTTAGATCAGCAGTTGGTCACAAAGACCATTTACCTTTCCCTTCCTAACCACTTCTTCACCAGTATCATCTGCTCTCTGGCCTGTGTTTTCTGCTTTCGTGATGCCTCATCCTATGAGCAGACTGCAGATCTCCTGGAGTGGGCACTATCTTTCTATTTTCCATCTGAGCAACAGAGTGGTCTTCTGGCACTTCCCAGTGTGAATGTTGTGACTGTAAATAACTGAAATTTCTCAAATGTTACAAGTTGTGAGCCCATCAGTACATTTATTTTCTGATGGAAACAATAACATGAAAAGAACAACCTAAACTCTCTGTTGTTAGAGGGATAAAAAAAGCAGTGAGAACAAGACCCGAATCAAACTACCCTGCAGAGAAGATAAATATATATATTTTTAATATACATATAAATTAATATTTATATTTTTATATCTATATAAAGTCTCCCTGCTAGGTCACTGAAGATGTAGCTCAATCTCACAACAGCAGAGTTACAGAACACAATAAAAAGTGCTGTAGTAAAGCCCAGCCTCATAATACTTCAAAGGAGAAGAACAAAGAGACAGAACAAACAAACATCTTCTTCATTACACGTTGAGTGACTTGAGTACGTTGTTTAGTGAAACCTGTTTGGAGAGAGAGATTTGAGTAGGGAAATGCTTGTGATGACAATAAAAGCATTACAATTTGAATTCGGTTCCAGCAAACAGAACAACTAAGCAGACTGGGCAGGATCTGAAGTGTGAACTGACTGCCCTAATGTAAGAAATGTATAATTTCTTTGTTGCTTTACTCCTGGATGTTTTGGAAGCCAAGAAGCTCCTCATGACTATTTTTCAGGCTACAGAGAGCACTTGCACGCATAATACTGTCTTCACCTAAACAAATAGAAGTGTTTTCTTTTGTTGGTCTATTTTTTCAGCAGTGTTTATGATACACAAAGAAACAATAGTGTCAAGTCCTTGATGTGTTAAATCCTAGTTCTTCTTCAATAGCAGTTGAGATAGTTGCTGCATTCAGGTGGTACTTCTGTAGTTCAGAAGATAATTTTTCAAAGAACTGTAACATTTGAAAGCAGATTCTTCAAATCCTGGCTAATCAAAACTAGATTATATCATCAGAGCCAATGAAGCATTAAAGCATATTACTGAATAATATAAAATTAAAAAAAAAAAACAACAAAAAAACCCCATTTTATTCATTTTACATTTATTCATGTAATAATTGCAGCTGTCACTGCTGGGTAGATGAAAGAGGGTTTTTGTTGCTGGCTATTTTACTTAGGGAATGCAGTTAACTATTCAAATAAGCCAGCATCACTTTTCATGGTCCTATCTTCTCCCTCCCCCTGTCAGTTTACTATTTTATTTTTCTAATGATATTCTATCTTTGGTACACTCTTTTTTTTTTTCTGTAATTCCAGTGACAGAAATTCTAACTTATTCTTCAAATGTTCAAATAAACCCCAAACTGCTCACTAGACAAGCAAATAAAACACTTTCATTCTGAAGAAACTCCCTCTATAATCACAAGCCAACATATGATATGAATATGATGAATGAGGACTGGTAGAAGTTATCCATTTCCTTGCGTCAGTTCTGTTACAGAGGTCATTGGTACAAAAGGTTGTTGTTCTGTCACATAACACTGCCCAATATTTATTCACTCTTTGAATAGATACTGTTACATTCTGCTTTTACTAAATGCTTACATTATAAATTATGGGAATGACATACAGGCAGATCCAGCTATTAATTCCCTGAACAAATCTTCCTCCATTCCTCTGCATCAAGCCTTTTTAACATTCTGCAGAGGCTTCTCTAATTTTCTATGTTGTTAGTTTCTTAAAAATGGAGTCATAGTTTTTGTAAGGCATTTATTCATCTTCAAAGGGGTTTATTGACCCTTCAGAGGGTCTTGGTGACTTAGGATGGAAAATAATATTGAAATAAAATATAGCTAAAATCAAATGCCCCCAAAGAAAATAGAGTAAAGAGAAAGAGAAATGGACAATCTCAGTGGAAGAAAATAAAGAGAAAGAGAAATGGACAATCTCAGTGATTGTAGATGTCAGCAATAAAACCTCTGTTCTTTCACTTTTGGGATTGGCTCCTCCTTTTCACTGAATTTGATAAGGAGAAGAGCCTTCATTTAGGATATATTAGACTTGTCTTCCACCTAAAAACAGGTAACAAGAAATAAAAACAATAACAGAAAAGTGAAAAACAAGGAAAAAAAAAACCAACCAAGAAAAACACAAGAATAAACAGTGGCATTAGCACTGCAGCATAACTTTTGTTTCCAGAGAAGGTAGGAAAGTGTTCATGTAAACCTTTCTCTCACCTTTGCCTTTGCACATTGAGATCCTCTAGAGACAGTGGGCACAGAGAGCCAGGGAAAAGCAGCAGGGAGTCAGCTACAGGAGCCTGCTTAAGTCAGCACAGATCACCCTATTACCAATTCAGCCTCCACATCCTGAGGCAAGAGACATGAGAAAAGATGCCGCACTTGCCTTCTGGCATCTCTTTGGTGAGATGATGGAAACAGAAATGGATACAGAAACATCTAAGGGAGGAAAATAAATACACTTTTTCCACTTGTAAAGCCTATTTCCAGCACAAAAGATCTAAAGAACAAGCTAGATAACTTCAGCTATTAACAGAGAAAGTCAAATTTACATAGCCATGTAAAGAAATACAACCTGAAATATAAAACCAATGGTAGTAGTGCACTAAGTGCTGCATTTCTGTTTGTCAAATTCTTACACATTTTGTTTTCTCTTTTTCCTTTTAATATTATTATAGGGGATAATAACAGGGGATGAAACCACTAGAGAAGAGCTCCAGCATCATGAAAAATGGTGTGGAAACCAAAGAATAAAACAAAATTGTAGGTTATGGTGCTAATACCCTTCCGATCATCTTTAAAAGATTTGTTCTTCACATAATGTCAATTTAACTCTTATAGATATAAAAGTCCACTGTATCTTTTGGCATCTCTCATATTACAATCCAGCATCATGAAAAATGGTGTGGAAACCAAAGAATAAAACAAAATTGTAGGTTATGGTGCTAATACCCTTCCGATCATCTTTAAAAGATTTGTTCTTCACATAATGTCAATTTAACTCTTATAGATATAAAAGTCCACTGTATCTTTTGGCATCTCTCATATTACAACTGCTATCAGTTGTTCCCAGTTAGTTACTCTGAACAATTGTCTCTAGGCAAGAGTATTTATTTCCACAGCATTACATCATGCTGTACCACCCTTCCCATACAACAAACTGCAGAAGATGAGAGCTAAGTGGCAAGTCTTTTCTCCAGTGGGCAAAACTTGCATTACAAATGTGGATATCAGGTTTTCACAAAAGCTGACTTATCAGCAAATTAAATTTTAAAAGCCTCAGTGCTCAGATTTTATCTGATCACTACAGCTAAGACAAAAATCTTACTTCAAATAAATGTTTCTCCTCAGTTTAGTCTCTACGTCGCATACTTCTCAGTTTCTTCCTCATTTTATTCTATGGAAGATTTTTTTCTAATCCTATGGAACTGAGGAAAAATTAATATATAAATGTTCAAACAATCATTAGAAAGATGACCCTCTTAAATAAAAGGCACTTAAATATGACTTGCACATCACCTAAAGACATTGTTCAGTGTCAAGGCATTATCAAATTATTTAACCTTTAAGGCTAAAATATATACCCTCTTTTGATTTAGAGTTGAATGAGGACATGGGAATATAAAACATGATCTAGGAGGATGCTAGGATGACTAAAACCAAAAAGATAATTACCCTGAGGAATCATCTCTCCAGTCTCAGGGTCCTCAGAAACACTTATTTTTTGAAACAAAGCCTATAAAGTGGGTGGTGCTGAATGAAACTCTGACTTCATGTCCAGTTAAGAGGAGTAAACAAGTAATCAGACTTCCACCGCCTTCATCTGGAGCCCAGAAGGGTGGTTCAAACCCACAATTCTCATGTCTGAAGAGCAGAAAACCACTTTTCTTCAAAAACATATCTCCATAGCATGTAAAGCAAGATCCAGGAGGTGAAGAAGCGGGACCACAGTGGTTAAAGCATCCTCGTACAAAGTGGGATCCTGAGATTCCTTCCTTCAGCACTGAAGCAGCTCTGCCATGGAAATAAAGATTCCAGCGTTATAGGAAAGGTGCCTTGGAGACTGTTTAGCATGATTAATATAATCTCTGTTTTCACTTTTTCCTCTTCAAAACTCTACAAGATCACACTGAAAGAGCTTACAAATCTGGAAGTGTGCCGCTGCATCAGGACCTTACTAAAAGTACCTACAGGTATGACTAAACCCAGGAAAATGCACCGTTCTGGTTAATTTGGGGTCACGTTATTGTTCTTTTCAATTAGAAACTTCATTTCTAATACATTTACCAATTACAGTCAGAACACCTGAAAACATGTATTAAATATAATGACGTAGTACTTACTAGGACAGTCATTTTCTTTTCACTAGTTTTTCATCAAATGCCTGTGTCATTCACCGCAGTTCCTGCTATTTTCTGACACTTTTCATATGTTACACACTGACAAAGGTCAGCAGATTTTCTTGTAATCCAGATGAAGCTTCAGCTGAAGCTTGTGGTTCCTGGTGCTCTGCTGCACCAGCAGCTTCAAAACTGTCGGAGTTCAGAAACAACATAGCACAAAGCTCGATTTCTGTCAGCAACAATACTTATATGTTTTCATTTATTTCCTCCTTCAAAATACGAAAGCAGGTGCTCTGGTTCAGCAAATGGTGGCAAAGGGACCTAATAACACACACTGCAAAATTGTCATGACTCGGTGGTGAAACGAGACCAAGTCCACAAATTCCAGGTTATGAAGGTGTAACAGTGAAATCTGAGCTGAAAAAAAAAAAAAAATATATATATATATATATCAAGAGACAGTTTAGTGATAAGAAAGCAATATATTGGGATATTCAAAGCTGGCTAAATTTATTATTTTTTTTTTTTTTTTAATTACAGTTCTTAGTTGTGTCTGTCACTAGATTGATTTGTAATTTGGCTTTCTGGGCATCCATTTGAAGTATGTTTTTAATGAGTCTACATCTACTCTAATATGGAGAAGGGACTGGGGTTTTTTATACTGGTCTCTCTTGACAATAAAAGGCTATATTTCTTTATTGAAATCCAGCTTTTCTGAGTTATTCTGGTGGTACAAGAGCTGAAACCAATTGCAAGGGGCCAACAGAGATCAGTCCCTGATCTAGGAGAGCTGTTGGTCCATCATTGGAGTCTGCCCCTTGAGTCTCCCTCTTTTTAGTTCCTTTAGAGAAAAAGCTGGAAATTAATAGGAACCAGCGATATTAAGGGCATCACTCCAAGACAAAATTTAGGGTGACTCAAGCCCAGAGGAGTGTTTTCCCTCTCCTCGTTGAGGACCAGAGCTAGTGTGCAAAGAGGTCAGTACATGGAGTCTACCAGAATCAACAAGCAGTGATAAACTCCATGACACCATGTGCTCCCAGTAGCAGCCAAGCCTGCTAAGAACACTGCAAAAGGACAGAAAAGGTTTGGGGCTTTTTATAAATTTTCAGCTTTACGTTCACATCCTCTAAATCACTCAAAATTCTGAAGTAATTCCTATGTAGAAATTCAGTGAACATTTCGAATATTCTGTTTTCAGGCTCACAAGCCCCAATATTACCTGGACTGTAAGCTGTAAGATGACAATATCTTCTTTATCTAGAGTGAAGTGGTGATTTTTTGTGGGTCCATCAGAGTATCTCGTCATCCCATACTTGTTGTATGAATGCCTGAATTTTCAGGTTGTTAGAAAAAATACAACTAAAGCTTCATCAGCTGTCTTTATAAAGAAATAATTAAAAATTCTATTTTATTCCACCCTAAATGAAACATTTCATTTTCAATAATTTCTGAAGAAAATCTATAAATGTTTACTCTATGTTTAGTTTTAGAATGTTGATTCAAAACAAAATCAAAATATATAGTTAATAAACTGTCAAAATGAATTGTTTGTTTTTAGAAAATAATATTTGTGGTGGGGTGGATCTTTTTGCCAAAGTTGGCATAACATCACAAATAGCTGCTGTCAATCAAAAAATGCAATTTTTTATAAACTAGCTGTTTGTCTTTTTTAAAAAAAAATATTCTATTCATTGCTGTTCTCTACTGATTGCTTATGCCTGAGGGCTAGAGGAGGTTTTTTTATATTTATTTCCTTTCCTTATTAGTGATACTGTTACCTGTGATATCGGCTCTTGGAGCTGCTTTGGAGTCTGATGATCTGTATTGTGGGTGAGTTTTGCTTGAGCTTTGTACCATATTTGTGCTTCAGAAAGTGGCAATGAAGGCACGTCATAGCTGAGGATTTTTTGTTCAAGAAAAAATTTCCTTTAAAAAAGTTTAAATACAAAGATTAATAGCTTTAGGTATGATTTTATACAGTATACTTATTCTCAGACAGTACATTTCCCATCCTATATGAATCACAGATACCTGTTCTTCATTCAGAGAGGCTTTTGCTCCCCTCAGGGTTCAAATCCCAGTATCCTTTGTGGTTGCTACCCACAAGCTTATACATATCATAATTATTGTGGATGGGATGAACCCAAATAACCCTCCCTTTAAGCAGATCAACTATTGATGACTTCCTGGAGATTCCAAACACACTCCCATTAAATATTAATTATAAAACAACTTATTATCCTGCTGAGAGCAAGAAAAATACCTCCTCAGTGACCTCATGGATTCTGACAATAGCTAATTCAAGAATTATGGGAAGCAGAAGTGCTCAATGGAGAACCAAGGAGCTCACCAAGGCACCACACAGAAATCCCCACAGCTGCAGTTTACCTTGCTGCTGTCAGCTGAGAACACTCTTCACTGATATATGTAAAATCACCTGTATGCAAAGTCACCTATATATGTAATGTTAAGGTCCCACACATCTCCAAAAGGCTGAGCGCTGGATTTCTGGATGTTTGGACAGTTATTCAATATTTAAATTGTCTTCCTTTCCTCTGTTCTTCAATCTTTACCAAGATCCAGTCTTTTATTTTTCATATACTGGAGATAAATGCAGCCCTAGGTACCTCGTGCTTTAAATCTGGCCAGAATCCAGATTTTGTTGTGAAATCTGCTTCTTTATTGAGAACCAAAAAAAATCAACTGCCCACAAAATGGCAGTCTAAAAGCTTGGCCTGCTCCCTGTCCTGGAGGGTGCAGCCTCATACACAGGCCCATCTTCCCTCAGTGGAGACGTAGCACCGAGCTCACACGCAGGGCTGGTCACTCCTTTTGTCCCACCACATCTGCTGCATTTCCTCCTGGGGCTCAGGTCAAACCTCCCTCGGGCTTTTTGAGGTACAACAACATCAGCGAGTTTGATATCACAGCAATCTCAAACTGTGATCAACACCTGGACGCCCCACTGTTTTTGGTCTGATGTGATATCGACACCTCTTGTACGTGCCTCGTGAAGACAGCAGAGGGATCTGTAACGTTACGTTTGCTGTGCCGAGGAGAGGGCTCCCACTGCGGGAGGAGACCAGGGTGCAGTGATCCCTGCCTGGCAAAAAAAGGGACAAAAAAAGTGAAAATTAAAAATAGAGGAGGGGTGATAAATAAGCATTAGGCCTGAAGTGATTTTAGTTCAGAGAAAATACAATTCGCAGCGGCACATCCATATAGAGATGGTTCTGTTTTTTCCCTATGCCCTCACTGAATGTATAGAGGGGGGAGTCAAGGGTTTGAGGAAGGCAAAAGTCCGCCAGCAACAGAAAAGTGAGCTACTACAACAACAGCTCCTCTCTGAACTAGCAGAATTAGCGTCATGATAAATGCATCACGACTACCTTAAGGGTTGCTGCACTACCTCTGAGAAACAGTAGAGTTGGATATTTTAAGTTAATAAGCATTTGTGGAAACTGGAGTTTGACTCCTCAGCAGTGATGCCAAATGCAGCAGCACTTAACAGTGGGTGCTTCCGACCCACTGGCACCAAAAGATTATGGTTAAAATTTTTATTGTTTGTTTTCCAAACCTGCTATTTGATTAATGCACTGCCCTAGCAATATTGAATGAAGCTTTAAGTGAATTTAAGATCCACTAGCTCGACAAAAAGAGTCAAGCTATTCCAAAGTTATTTCCTAAAAATAAATGGAAAGAACCAAAGATGTTTCCTCATCTGATCATCAACGGAATGATTGATGGTTGGACTAGATCATCTTGAATGTCCCTTCCAACCTAGATGATTCTATGATTCTACCTTTGAAAGAGTCAGGGTCAAATTCTCCTCAAAGATTCCAATAATGAGCATTTTTGTTTATCTGTCACCCAAACTGGACATAAAATCAGTAGTTTCCAAGTATTAGCTGCATGACCTGGATACCTGGTTTAAATAAGGCATAAAAAATACATGATCAACCATTATTATATGTATTTAGAAGACTTTAAAAAAGGTAGGTTTAAAACATTGCCACGTTAATTGACTGGTAAACCAAGTGGGATGTGTTAAACAAGAAATTTATAGTGACCTGATCAATAGAAATGAATAAAAAGTTGTGCTTGACAAAAAAAACCATTCCGTCTAAGCCTGGATAGGATCAGATTTGTTACGGGTTCACTGGGATGCACTGTTTGCTCTTCTGGTAAAACATATCTCCCAGGCATACAACCTGCAATGGCTGTGCAGGTACCTCTGCCCAAACAAAGCAAAAGACTCTAGTCCTGATGTTTTACAAAGACATAATGAAGCAGTAATATAATAGAACCTATATTTAAAGTACATGTAAGGAGCAAACTAAATAACAAGGATCACAGAAGCAACAAATTAAGAAACTTCAGTAAGAAAAGCTAGAGGAATAACAATAATTGGTAATTTTTTTATTAACAAGCAAGGGAAATCTATCCCTTACACGGCTGTGAGGGACACAAAATATTCACCTCCTCTTTCAATGGAAAAATGGAGGGTAACTGCAGCAAAATGAAAGCTCTGCCAATCAAACTGATCAGAAGAGAATAACCTAAATCGAATTGTCTTAGAAGAAACTGCTGAGAACCTTTCTTTCTGAACATATCCATCACTGTTCATAATTAACAAACATTTGAAAACTATAGAAATTTCAAAGGACTGGAGGAGTGCCAGGATTAAAAAACTGAATAAGAGCAGGGACTCTGGGATTTGTAGAGGACTTAGATGTCAATTTCTGGAAAAAAGCATGGAACCAATTTGAGACTGTCAATTAAATTTAGAGACTATGGAAACATTCAGCATCAGTCAGCCTGATTTCATGGAAAGTAGGTCTCTTCAAATCAACTGTTCCCTTTTTATGTCAGGATTTCGGGTCTAAATGATATAGTCAAGTTATATTGTTATACATTTGAATTTCTCCTAAACTCAGTACCATTCAGTTTCTGATTTTAGATCTCAAGATCTAAAAGACATTACAATGAATTAAAACTTGGTCCCCTGATGGATCGCAAAATGCAGTTCACACTGAGAAAATAGTCAGGAATGGAGCTTTAGCCATAAGGCCACAGGGAATTGATTCTTGACCCCTATTTTTATCAGTAACTGATCTAAAGCTACAAAAATTTTACTAGCACAGTAACTCGTAAGATCAAAGAGTATACTTAATAGTCAGGTTACTGTTACAGGGAGACCCGAATCACTTGGTAAATGATCAGAAAGCAATAAAAGTGCATTTCGTATGCTCAAACGTAACATAAGATAGCTGGGAACACAGAGTGCAGGTTGTGCAAGTTTCTCTCTTGGGAATAAGTAATTCAGAAAGGGACTTAGAGGTCATCATAGGTAATTGCCTCAACATGGGATCACAGCACTAAGCTGTGGCAAGAAGTTCTCGTACACTTAAAAATGTGGCTTCAAGGGGAGGAGGAAAACCTTGGATTTTTTCATCTTTCTGCACAGCACGGGTCATGAATTTCCTGCTATGATCATCTGGGCATATCTCTCCTAATCAGTTCCCTGCCATTGCAGAGGCCTCAAGCACTGCTCACACCTTGGTCTCTGTGGTCTCTTTGCCAGTGGCACACAACACTGAACTCTCCTGGTGACTGAACTTTACATTATTTAGGCCAACCATCCAGCAGCTTTGGATTCAGAAGTTCCTATGTGAAAATGTAACCAAAAAGTGGTTTGGATAAGGGGGATCGAACTGCGTCAGCAGAATCCAACCCTTCAGCCTTCCCAAGATGGGTGAAAAATCTTCATAAAGCCAACTGCAGTAACACACCCAGAGATTATCTAATCAAGGGCAGGGAGGGCCCCATAATACATTTTCCCCCATGATATGGGGTTGCCTACGCATGGGGCCTCAAAGTGCCTGCCCCACGGGCCTGCTGTGGGACATCCCACTCCTGAGGAAGCCAAGTCTGAACTGCATAAGTGTTGGATGTAGTGAAGGGGGTACAGGTTGTCACCCCTTCAGCGAGATGAATCTTCCCAGCTTTAAACTCTAGAATTTGATGATATATTTTGTGCCAATATTTATTTCAGAAAATTATCTTTCTGCCAGGGATAGAAAACATCAGGCTGACAGCTCTACTCTCAGCTTTCCAGAATTCATGCATGGATTTCTAAACTTGACTGTAAGTCGAAATATGCGGGCAAACCCTTAAGACCGTGTTCCTTCTTTGTAGTATCCCGGTTTTCAATCATATTAACAATGAAAGCTCAGATTACTGTTCACATGCTTAAGAGCTTTCCTTCAGGAGTTGGTGTTTCATCTATTCAAAAGGCATAGAAACAGCACTTTCAAAACAATGCTTGATTCAGATGTCTCTTCTCTCAAGTAATTGCAAAAATAGTTTTACAGAACAAAAGACGCAGCCTCATAGTTCTGTGCCCTAATTCAAACTGCAGCTAATACCTACCAGAGCCCCAGCTGCTTCTGGGGAGAGGATGTTTACTGTCTTGCTCACAGCATATTCCTTCTGCTCTGCATTTCTGACCACTGAGAGCCCATCCCACCCCCTTCCCAAGGACTCCATTTAGCCTCATGGTAAAACTTGGGAAAACTAAACTCCCAGCCTGATGGGGATAGAGGATATTTCCCACAGGGAGCTTTCCTGTCTTTCAAGACTTGTGTCTATTCCCTACCTGTTTGGTTTATCCTTTACCAGTTTATTTTCATATAACTCCTTGAGGTCAGAAAGTGTAGTATGAAACAGGGAATCTATAAGCATGTAATTTAAATAAATAATCCCCGCAATTCTCTCATTCTCTCTCTCCTTAAAAGGATTGCATTAAGTGTTTGATACTTGACATTTGTAGAAAGATTACAAGGTTGCTATTTTTTTGTTTTAATAAATCAGAAATTGAGACAATACAGGCAGATAGGACAGATAACTAGGCTTAGTCATTAGCAGAGACCACTAAAATGTGGTTCAGTACATAAATCATTTTTGTCTGATCTTTATTATTCTCCTAGGTCCCAAGTAAAGTAGTGATGATAAAACACCTGGAGTATTAAGAAGATGAATTAATTGATCTTCATCAAGGACTTACGCACTACAGAGATGGGGGTGTTAAAAATCATGCCAGATGGACATTGCTTGAGCTGGTGCAGAAGAATCACAGTCCTGACTCTTCCTCATTTCACAGAAAGGGGACCACTTGTTTCTTACAGATTACACAGAGGTTAATTTTGCAAGAGGACAAAACCATTCAGAAAATCTGGAGTATTCAAGGATTTAGTGCTACTGCCAGGACATGGGGCTGTGAAGAGAAGAGTCTGGCTCCACTTCAATCCTTGTGAAATAGCTCCACGATGATATTCTTGACGTCATTGTGGAAACAAAATAAAACACTTGTTCTTTCAAAAATTCCCCTTTCTGGATGTTGGTTCTTGACTAGCTGAGTTTCAAGGCATAAATCTTTATGTTTAATGAATGTGTAATTTACAAGTTCAATTCCTTAGCAGCAAGTTCGATTCTTCCGTTGTAAAGACTCTGAAGCAGGAATCGCTATGGATTTATGGGGTTTTTTGTCCACTTTAAGAAAAATGCATTGAGAACAATAGCTCAGTAGCTGATAAAGCAAGTCTGTTGCTCCTGCTTCACTGTGTAAAGTAAAACAGCTTTGAGAATCCAAAACTTGCCCGTGCTTCTGTTCGTGGTGATTCTGGTAAATCTGCACAAATCTCACCTGAACAGTCTCCACCATCTCTACAGCCACAGCCAAACATCAACAGGGACCGACACTCCGTTTAAGCTCCACAGTTAAAACTGCCTCCACTTGAGACGGGCCAGCCCAGAAGAAAAGTGATCTGTTTTTCATCTATAGAAGTATTTTGAGCCAGGAAATGCTTGTGACTCCTCTCTCAATTTCTTTAGTGATCTCCATTTGTGCTGCAGCTCTGTGCTGAATTCATGGAGCACTGCTAGTCACGCTGTTCAATCTGTGAAGATTTAAGAAACTGATAGTATTGAGGTCCACATGACTTCAAGCAGGGTTACTCCAGAAATTATGTCGCATTTAAAGACTACAGGTTATGCCCAGAATAGTCAATTAATTAGCAAGACGACTCATAATGAACAATAACTAGATATTCATTCAAATCATGCTAACTGTAAGTTTAAAGACAGAAGAATGCTTGGAAGTTTAGAAAATGATAATATTCTATAACATATCCAAGTTGAAAGAAGGCAATTATATTCTATGATTTTGTTAAATTGCACAGTAATTTAAAAATGCAATTACATTTAAAATGAACAATTGAAAAGAATAATTATATTTCATTATGTCAGCTGGGTTGCTCAGATGAACGCTGTGTACTGCTGGATAGATACAGTGACATGGAATCCTGTAATGTGATAAATTTAAGAAAATCATGATTATCAGCTCTATATGCTGGGAGATATTTTATTACTGCTGCCAACAACAGACATATTTAAAATTCATTAATGGGAAATGAGAGAAAAATTGGGGGGGAAAAGTAGCTGAAAAGGTAGCACTCATACCTCAAAACACTTTTTTTCAACTTCAATTCATAAGGAAATTGAACATTTTAGTATTTGATTGCATAGCTAAAGATTAGTTGAGCTACTTTAAAATGCCATCTTTTGCTAAAGCACCTGTTGTGCAGCCCTTTGATCATGTTTGCGGGCCTCCTTTAGACCCTCTCCCATCTGTCTCCATCTCTCTTGAATTCTGGGGACATAGTTCTCCATGTGCAGCATGACAAGCACAGAATAGTGTCTCTTGCTGTAATGCCCCTGTGGAGGCAGCTCAGAATCCAATTTGCCTTTGTTGCTGCAGCAGTGCAGTGTTGTCTCCTGTTCACCTTGTTGTCCACCAGGACCCCCAGGTCCCCTTTAGCCAGGCTGCTCCCCAGCCTCACCCGTAGTACAGGCTCCTTGGTTATGTCATCCCAGGTGACAAGACTTTGCACTTGTCCTTATAAAACTTTATACTCTTCTTACTAGCTCACTCTTCCAGCCTGTCCAAGTCTCCCTTCTGATGTGTTCACCTCACCACCCTCAGCAAACGTAGTGAGAGTGCTTTCAAACCCATCATCCAGATCATTTATGAAAGTGTTGAACACTGTAGGAGCCCGTATTGGTCCCTGGGGTATCCAGCTTGTGACTGGCTGCCAGCCTGAGAAAAAAAAACATTGATTACCATCCTCTGAGTGCACCAAGTGAGCCAACCTCCTACCCATTCATCAGACCATCCATCCAATCTGTATCGTGTTAGTGTGTCCAGGAGAAGGTTGTGGGAAACAGTGTGGAATTGAAGTCCAGGCAAGCAATATCTACTGTTTTCCCCATGTTGACAGACAATGCTATTTTGTTGTAGAAGGTGATCAGGTTAGTCAGGCGATGTCTGGATTTCAATTATTTTCTAAACCAATAATGCCTTCACAGAGTACTAAAATGTGGGAAATCAAAGTTCCAAATAATATTTTTACTATAAAGATTTAAAGACTATAAGGGACAAAAAGGTCTGAGGAAAGAAACATGCACCCACTCCATCCCCCTTCTAACAGAGCACTAGTGTGAAGATGGAAACTCAGAATCAGACAGCCAAGCCAGAACGATGCGGGAAACCAGGTCTCCTGCATCTCTTTTTCAGGGTATTTTTTAATCTCTCATGGTGAGCCCATCAATCCCAGTTCAACAAGAAGTAGCTACTGTTCTTCTGTTTGTTGCAGGTTTTGTAAGAATCCAGAACTGACTGCCTAATAAAGGACACTTAGGTTTCTGGTCTACATGTGGTTCATTCAGGCAGAGGTTCGTGCCACTTCACTAACAGGTTACAGCCCTTTTTCCAAGTTAACAAGCTCTACTCCAATTTATACTTTTTTCTGGTATTGCAGACTTTGTTGTGTGACTTCTCCTGCCACTCTTTAGCAACTGAATAGCACAGGATGCATGGCTGGAAGAAAGCAAGAAAGGTTATGACATTTCTCCATCCTATACAGGATTTCTAGCTGCTGTTTCAGGTCCATGGTCTGAATAGCAGCCAGCATAAAGCTGGCATATCCCATGCTGGCATGTAGAGAATAAGGAAAAAGAAAAGGCAGGTATGCACATACAGACTTGCACAGTTTCCTAAGATATGTCTCAGTCTTAGTTAGCATTTGGGAACTTTCTTCCCTGGTAAACTTAATATCAATAGTTTCAAGCTCTTAATTAAACAAGGCAAAATAGGGCAAAACTATCCTCAACTTCACTAAGTTAGAATGAAGTTGCGTGATGTAAAAATTAAGTGAGCCTTTCAAAATGTTTGTAAATCCCTAAGTGCTGGCAGGAGCTGTTTTCTGGATACATTTCTTTTTGGAATTATCCCTTTTTGTATTTGAAATTCTTCACAGTTAAGTTAATTTACATTCATTATGCATCATAGCATTTTGGAAAATTTTCTGTTTAAATGCTCATCATTCTTAAACTTCAGCCTTACATCCTTGTAATGTCTAGTTTATGCAAGGGTGTTTTATTAATCACAACACACACCATTGGTTAGAAAGTATGACCTATTAACCAAGCAATTGTGCCATTAAATTTATGTCATACTTGTTAGTTTTAGGGCTCATGGTTTCTTTGGAACTTCCAGACACCATTCGGTTTAATAAGTTAGATTTTCAGTCTGCCCAGCCTTCAAGAATTGCAAGTAGCATTAAAAATTCAAGCCATCTTCTGTCAAAAGAGCTCATTTTAATAAAAATAATATCATCTTATATTTGATGTAATACTAATGGAAAGAACTTCCAATGTGCTTTGTAGGGATGACCCAAAAATTATTAGAAGACAATAGAAATTATACATTATCTCCTTCACATGCTTTAAAAAATCACTAGAAAGAGGAATTGAGCGAATAAATAAGAAATTCATAAGATAGTATTTCAAATATGCTTCAATTTAACCTCTAAATTACTGCTTATAGAATCATTCACATGCCCATAAATATCCACCTTGTTGAAAACAGACTGTGTGGTGAAATAATAAAATTCTACTCCCAAACACACAGTTAGAGCTAAAGTCAAACTGCAGGTATTTCAATCTCATTAATGGACAAAAAGTGTGTAAATTAGTTTTTAGTTTCTCCACCGCATTGACAGAACTTGGGGAAAGATCTTGCGGTTCTATAAATATCTGTATTTGCCACATGACACAAAATGAGGACGAGCCTGGCTGCCTCTCACAAGTCTGAGCCATCTCTGTCTCTCTCCTGACCCCTCACTTCATGATCTCTTCTGCCTGATCTGTTTGCCTTTTACCCTCCCAGTGATTCTGCTTTCCAGGGAAAAAAGGAAATAATAGTGTTGCCCAAGATAGATGGGGTTTTAGGACACATTTCTGCTAAATAACGTTCCCCTTTACGGAAATGCTGGTAGCAATTAAAAGTTTTGCATAACTTTTTAAGAATTCCGAGAAGCCTTTAAAATTAATACTGTTTATTTACCATCCCAAAAAGTTCTAAATCAGAAACAAATTTTTCATAGAGAGGTATTTCAAATTTGAGGTACTGGGCTCAGATCTGTCCTCAGTAATTGAAGGAAAAATCCCCAAGGCTGACTGACTTCAAGTTTACACCACTACCAAGAACAGATTTGTTTGATGTAAAGAAATCAGTCATCAATTCTGTGAAGTCACATTAGGCGTAATTCAGGGCATACTTGACCCATACTGTCTGAAGTATGCTATTATGATGCAACACACAACTTAGCTACAGACCAGATGTGCCTGTTGTGACAGAGCCAGCAGCCCACTGAAGAAAACTCACCTCCTGTGGCATTTAATTTACGCCATCCGGATGTCAGTTCAGGATTCCCTCTCAAAGAGTCCACGTTTTCAAGTGATTTTTGTTTCTAGTAGCTCTAGGGAGAGAGTGTTCCTAATCTAAATACATTTTTTTGTTCAGAATTTCACCTAAGCAAGCTGAATTTTCATTCCAATCTATTGTTCCCATTTATGCTTCATTGTAGCATTTTAAATAATTCTTTGTACTTCTTGATATTAACACATTTGCAGTTGCATTTCCACTTCTATTTAAAAAGCTCTTGGATACCAAAATTAAATCTTAAACAAAAGCAGTGGACATATTTTCATTTTTCCAGATCAGTCACTTTTTCTAACAGGGGACAGTAGCTGATGCTTGTGGAAGAATAAGATACGTAGAGTAGGACCCTTCCCTTGACAGATGACAGCAATCAGTAGTTTAGAGACTCCTCAAGCTGGAGGTTAGCTCTGGGCCACTGTATTTCATACAGCTATTACTCATGAATATGCCTAATACCGTTTTGAACCAATTTATAATCTTGACCTCCTCACAAATTCAGAGTCATCATTTAAATTACATATGAAGGGGAAGAAAATACTTT